ATACGGCTTCCCCAGTTGGCTTCCCTTTTATTTCAAGGTGAAAAGGGTTCGCTCAAAAAACAAACGCGTACACCATACACATGTTGTGGCCCCTTTCGTGTGTGAAGTGCAAGGGTATCTTAGCCTTGGAGACGGGATAAGGGAGGAATCGCCGAGACGTGCGATCTCACTGATGGGCCCCAGCCTCGAGCCCCCATATACTGGATAAGCTCTTTCATAGGCACCGTGTCCTGGCGGACGTGCGGCTTCCCGGGCAGAAATGGCATCTATGAATCACCACCAGTATACTGACAGGGGGTGATTGTCTGAGTTCAGGGGGGAATGATTATGTGACAAACCATGACCTTCGACTGCAGATCTCGAAATTAGGTACACCAACCCAACATGGGATATCTTTTTCTTGAAAGGGAACTCCCAAAATGGATTTCGGTTTGCCTTTTGGTTTCCCTTTAAACCCGAGTGCGGTACAATATGCTCCCAGGTAAATCCATGTTGCTGACTTATTGCTTGGTTGTTGTCGACCCCGCTGCAAAAAGTTTAACTCTTTTTTTTTTTCTGCGGGGGGGGGGGGGGGTAGTGGAAAACGCCTTGATTTTCCAAAAAGCTAACGTCTAAAGATCCAACCCAATAGCAGTCAAGATTGGCACAACGTTCCCCCCTTGTCGCTCTGCCCGCGCCTTCGCCGTCACCGCTGGCGGTGCCGGGGCGGGCGGTGCGGGTGCCGGCATCGGCGGGGGTGCCGCCTCGACTTGCGCCACTCGCTTTTGGGAATAGACCCCTCCCACCAAGTAACATGGAGCTAAACGGCATAAGTGAATGGGCCATGCCGATTGTTCCACTTCAAGCAGCTTCACTGCCTTGAACGTCATCTCCATCGCACCCTATTTTGCGGGAGGTTCGCTCACACCCAGCTTTACTTCAAAACTTAAAATGGACATGTTTCACCTTGCATCCTCCCTCAGACTGCCGCTCCCTGCAGTGCCCACCCTGTATCCAACAAGTGGTTTGGTGTCTTAGGCTGGTCGTCTTCCAAAACCTCTCGTCCACTATCCTCTGGATAGGGTACCCTCCCACCAATGAAAATGAAACCTGATAGGGAGGGGGTCCTGGAAGACAATTTTCCTTTTAAAGCGGACACTTGCAGCGGCATATCCGCCTACATGTCGCTGGACAGCCCACATGTGGAACATCAAAAAGCTACCCTCAAAGGAAAACAGCCAAACTTCCCCGCCCACGCGCAGCCGGGCTCCCAGCCGGGCTGACAGCAGGGCTCACCGGAGGGGCTGGGGCTGGAGCTTGGGGCGGAGCTGGGGCCGGGGGTGGCGCTGGAGCCGGAGTTGGTGCTGCCGTGGTCGTGTGCCTCGCGGGGAATTGGAGGGAGGATCAGAGTGGCCCTGACGGGTGATCCCGCAGCGGGCACGGAAGTGTTGCATGTGACTCGTGTTGATCTGATCGAGATCGTAACTCGGTTGACTACCTGTACTCTAGGTTGAGCTTTTGCACCGCAACTGTTTGCAAGAAGATCATGTGCTCGATCTGGACGCAAGGCATTTCTGAAAAGTTGACTGCCCCCTGCATTGCCAGGAAAGGTGGGCAAATCATCGCCTCCATGCACCGTGACTGCTACTCCTCAGAACTTGAAAGCCTTTATGACTTTATGGCAAAGCAAGGGAGAACCCGAGGAGTCTGTGCGATGCCCAATCTGCAGTCCCGATAGGATCTTTCACAAACCCGCTTCCTGCAACCAACAAACATGGAGCGGACCCCAAGGAAGCCAGTCTTCATCTTGTCGCAGCACCCCCCAATAGGTATCCTTTTGGTAAAATAGATGGTTTTTCCTGGGTACATGGAAAAAAGCCAACCTAAACCAGTGGTTAACCCATCTATGTCTCAATCAACCCACCTCAGAAAAGGACCCCCACGGCGCTTCCATGTTTCTTGGGTCTTGGCCAATTTTCAGCTGGACCTGGCCGAACCCCAAGCTCTCTCTCTGAGCGCGCCAGAAGAACTTGTCGTGGATGAGGGCGCTGTTCCACTCCTTCGGGGACAAGGCAGAGAAATAACTAGCACATCGGACCCCTCTTCATGGAGGAACCCAGCCAGGAGATTTAGATGATGCCACTCAGAGGGCTTTAGAATGGGGCGGGGGGTGTTCCAAGACGGACCTGCGGTTCAAAGCCGGTCAACGTGCGCGACATGAGGGATCCCCTTTCATCTGACGGCTCCCTTTACTTTGTGGACATTACTTAATAAAATGCGAGTCCACATCGATCAACAGCATTGTTCGGGGCTCTGCTTCCCGCTTCTGGGGGCTATCAATTTCAGAAACCGGGGTTGCATCCCTTTAACCTACCACTTAGAGCCCCTTCACTCGCGTGCTAATCAGCCCATGAGCTGCCGAGGTGCCGAATTGGATAACAGGCCGTCGCCGTTCTCGTCCATTCCACGCATGGCGTAACTCGCCTGCAAGGCGAGTCTAAGCCGTGCGAGAATTCCCTGG